TAGACCCCGGCGGCTGGGAAAGCTCCGGGTGCCGGGAGAAGACACTTGAACGAACCGGCCGGTTCCTCCGCGCCCGGCAGCTTCCAGGCTCGAGCTGCCGTGAAGCTGCGTGTTTAGTCAGTGCTTCAGTTTTCTGAAAACACCTTTGCAAACTGAATTCCGTGAAGGAAATCGAAGTACGCTTGTGTACGTATATGCACACACAAACACACACTCTTCTAATTCGGTTTTCAAAGTCGGCGCAGTTGTTCACACAGGTATGCACGTGCGCCTGCTGGGGGCATCAGGGTAATTCGGGGAACCTGAGTTTCAGCTCACGTTCTTCAGACTGAACCACATCTCTTCCTGAAACAACTACTGTCTCACGCTTTACCGTGACAATAAAGTAGATAACTCGGCTTTTTTTCTGAAGACTTAGATGTGTGCTAGTGTAACACCTTCATCCCTTGATAACAGAATTATCATAAGCACGTTTGAATGTAACGTTTTAAAAGACACACTGAAGTTACCTTCACTTTAATAAAAAATTATGTTGAAATTCTTTGAAACCGTATGGCTTTTAAAATAGCTAGAGACTAGTTTTATAAAAATAGGTCTACATGCATAAAAATAGATGCTTGCTGTGGTGTCATTTTTAGTGTCTTCATGACTTAGATGTTGAAATACTTAGTGCTTCACCTTGGTTTCTAGCCTTGTCTAGCATTTTCCTAGATAAGTAGCTTTTCAGCATTTTTCAGCGGGAAATCTATTGAAAGTACGTTGGTATTTCTGTAAGTAACAAGTCTTGTCTGGTTTCTAGATCAAATTATCTCCTTTTTTTTTTGCTTGCTATAAAATTATTTTTTAGCTAGGAGACTGTCTTAAGAAATTGAATCATTAACACAGACTATCTATTCTTTTTCAGTCCATATGGACTATTTGATTTGCATTTTGTAAAAAGTTCCAGAAAAGCTAGACTTATAGTTCAAGAAAATTACAGGAAGATGAAGCGTTTATTATTTCCCTTTCTCACAATAAGACTGTTTAAAATTCATCAGCTGAAATTGCATCTCCACCTTGAAGTGGGGGAAGCACCAACATGTTCCTTACACTAAACTACGTGTAAATGGTAAATATCTTTAAAGCCTTTTTCAGGATCTCTGACTCTCAGTTGTTCTCCCCCTCTGATGGTCTTAGGATGAAGACAGATGCATAAGGAAGAAAGCTGGTTTTGTCCTTGATCTTTCATGATCAAGGCCTCCAGCACCATTACAATTTGTGGCTTTATGTGATTGCTTTAAAAAAAAGTAGTCTGTATGACTGCACAGCCAACTCAGATCCATGATAATGCTTTTATTTTAAATGATGATTTCAATCTTGAAAAAGATCACTATATATACTTTAAAAAAATCCTAAACCTTTTCCTTTAAATAATTTTCTGAGGAAACAGAAAAAGCAAAGATTCTACAAGTTGCTTTTGCCAGCAGGTTGGTTAAGATATGTGCCTTCCACTTCTGTTGTTAGCTACCAAAGCTGTCAAGAGGAGGTACATCAGATTTTTTTCTTCCCTTCCCCTTGTCTTTCGTTGCGGCAAGTCTCACAGATGAGAGTGCAGTGCAGTCAGTTTGGTGTAAGAACAGGTATTTGTTTCCAGTTCCCCGCAGTCAGACATCAGTGTTTGCCAAACACTGACTTCTCAAAACTTTGGTTAGTCTCTGCAGAGGGAAGCACTGAACGTGACAAGGATTTGATTCTTGCTCTCTTCACAGTATAGCCCAGACAACGTGGCTGGAGCAGATGGAGACGTTGACCCCACCGAAATCACCTTTCCAGGATGTTCTTGTCTTACTAGTTCCTGTGTGGTTCGTGTGTGTACATGTCTTTGCCGTGGTGAAAATTACAAGAATTTGTGCATCAAGCCTACGGACAAAGAGGAGTATGCCCGGCCTATTTTTGAATGCAATGCCATGTGCCAGTGTGGTGAATCCTGTCAAAACAGGGTCGTACAGAGGGGTTTGCAGTTCAGACTTGAAGTATTCAAGACTGTGAAGAAAGGGTGGGGTCTTCGCACTCTGGAATTCATAGCTAAAGGAAGATTTGTTTGCGAATATGCTGGTGAAGTTTTAGGTTTTAATGAAGCACGTAGAAGAATTCAGGCCCAGACATCCAAGGATTCAAACTATATTATAGCAGTGAGGGAGCACCTCCATAATGGTCAGATAATGGAGACTTTTGTTGACCCTACGTACATTGGTAACCTAGGCAGATTCCTGAATCATTCCTGTGAACCAAATTTATTTATGGTGCCGGTCAGAGTTGACTCAATGGTGCCTAAACTGGCACTTTTTGCAGCCACTGATATTTCTGCTGGAGAAGAACTTTCTTATGATTATTCTGGAAGATTCCATAATTTGCCAGTAACTAACAGAGAGCAAAGAACTTCACAGGAAGATAATATATTGAAAAAACCCTGCTACTGTGGTTCCCACACATGTAATTCCTTCCTACCTTGGGACAGCTCCCTCTTTTCCATAGCAGACACTTCTTCAGAGAGCTCTTCATAACTTTTCTGCCCCTAACCATATGCTAATGAGCATCATTTTCCCTTGCAGTTAAACCGCAGTTAACTAAAACCTTTCTTGCTATAGATGCATTCAAGAGCTATCTATACTAAGGATGCATTTTTTTGAGAAGAGGGAGAAGTATACAACTCAATTTTTAAATGCAGCCCAGATGATTAGTGAGGATATCAGTTTTGAAAACTAACATGCATATTCTAGTTTCATACCCTCACCTGCTAGGTTTCTTCAACTTTTGTTACTTTTGCATCTGACAACGTACTCAAGAAGCAGAAAATTTAACCTTTATAACCAGAAAAGGGTTAGTATTTGCACAACATAGTTGAAATGTGCCCAAGGTGAGAACCTGAAACCTAATGCAGCTGTGCAGTAGTACTCTAAGCCATCATGCTAAAAAGTAAAAGAAGAAATTTGTTTTTTAGAAGCTGTTTATGTAATTGACCAGCAATATCAAGGAGGTACATGTGGCTTTGAATAAAACTTAAAAAAAAAAAAAAAAGAGTTTTTGAGAATGTCTTCAAGCAACATCCTGAAGATTCTGTTTTCAAGGTGGATGATATGAGGGAGCACTAAAGCTTCAGGCTGTTCCAAAACAGAATCAGTTACTACCCAGTGCCTGCTGCTGCTATTTTGTTTTCTTCTGACAGTTTGGCATAGGTTAAAGTACCTGTCTCAATTTGTACTAAAAATCTTTCAAAAAAACAAAGAATAATTTAACAGTGGTACAAGGAAGGGACATGTGATGTCAATAAGAAAAGTAATTGAAAATTATAGAGAAGAGATTGAGACAAAGGAATATTGACATTTGCAGGAAGGGCATTAGGTTTCTTAAATTCCATTAAAAGAAATTACATTTTAAAATGAATTGCTATAATCATTTTGTGTACCACAAAACACAAGTAACTAATGCTTAGTGATGTCAAGTGCTTTTTCACCCTCTTCCATCTCCAGTCACATATAATAGCTGCTTACCAAAATTTGGTTTCAAGGGACTAGTTCAGTTTCATTACCATTTAGCTTCTGTGTAAACTACACAGTACCTCAGGCTCCTACAAGTACAGTCATCCCACCTTTTAAAGCCACATCTATTTCAAGGCTCATGTAATAAGATTTCTGCAGTAATAGCGAGCAGCACTTCCACGGCACTTTCCAACATTGTAATTGTCAGGAAGCAAATTCAGACTCTGCAGTCTGAAGCAGTATGATACTGCTAGTCTGACTTACAAAATGGATTAAAATAGTAAATGGTAAAGTACATTTGAACAACAACAACAACAGATTATGTTCCTGCACTGCTGAACAGCTGGCAGATATGAGAGTTCCTTTCAGCTAGTAATTGTTTTGTTTTCTTTTTTTCTAGAGCCAAACAGTATTAAGCAGGGGGCTGTCCTTTCCAAGCAGGAGGAGGTTATTGCATCTTCCTTTCATTGTTCTTATACAGATCTAATATACCTGCTCTACTTACCTGAGTAAGTCTGTAAATCTCACACCAGGAGGCAGAAAAGAATAGATGCTGTATTCAAAATACACAGTGAGCTAACAGTTTCTTAATATGAATTAACCACTTCTGTCTGCTTTTCATATTTCCTAAAATAAAAGCTATAGTTTCACGATAAATACATTAGATAGCTTGCCTGATGAAGAAGTACTTTCTGTAATTACAATTTATAGCACTTCCTTTCTAGAAGGATCAAATTAAGGAAGCTTCAAACAGGCTTGTTTAAAATTTCCCCCAACTTTGATGAGCAAGACACAGATAAATAGCAATACAGTTTTTTTTTTACGATAGTGCCATGCAGTGTTCCATCAGTGGCAAAAGCCCTTGATCTATGTGCTCTGTACAGTTTGATCTTTAACTGTATTCCTAGCCTTTGATGTAGTATATACACACACAAGCCACCGTTTCTGTGGAGGAAAAATAAATCAGCTGTTCTATAAGCAAGCTAGCAACAACATTTAGTTTTTCTTTTTAGAAAGAACTTTTTGATTTGGAACTTAACTTGATAGTGATAAGGGATAATGGAAATTTGGTTGCTCTTATTGTGCTAAACTGTCTTTCCCCATACTTTCTTGATAGACTTCAATGTTGGCTTTCCCCCCTTTAATAAATGCATCTTCCTCCTTCTGTTACGAAGAACTGCTATTGAGACACATGCTATGGTTGCAGTTTAAGCTAAAGATGATATCATGCTCAAGATGAATCGTTAACTGTCACTTCTGTAGGCACAGAAAGCCTCCAAAGGGTTTCAGCTGTGTGTTAAAAGTACTGTTTACAAGCAGAGCAGCCAGTAACTTTACTCCTTGCCTGATTAAGCTAGGCTGTTTTTACAGAACAGTTCCTCCAGCTTCTGTAACTTAGGATGCACGCTTCATTAGATACCAGAGCATAGCTTAGATGTCAAGATCTGTTGTCCCATTTAGAGGCTTATCTGGTTTTCTTCTCCAAAAAGGCATTGTGCCAGTCACTTTCGGCCTGCATGCTTGGGAGTGGACAATCCAATCTACTTCCTTTTCCTCCCTCTTGTAAATTGTTTTAAGACTAGTTTTATACCACCTGTATTCCTATTCCTCAAGATTAGATAAGTTTTCAAGATGACAGCAGTTTTTTAGCTTCCTGTTATGAATATGTACTTGGCATGATTTTGAGCAGTTGAGGAAGCATAGATTCCAACAAAACAAAAGAAAAACAAATCCAAACACCATTAGCCATATCTAGTCCTTACATCACCAGCCTTAAACCAGAGAACAGAACTGAACCTTCTGTCTCGGTGCAATTCCACCCTCAGTCACAGCCAGCAGAAGCCAGTTTCTAGCAAGTGAACTGAATTTCAATTACCTGGTTAGAAAAAGCTTGATGGTATAGAGCAACAAAAAGACTGTTGTACTGTTAAAAACAGCCAACCATATTATAGGCTTTAACTAGAACACATGAAATAATATGTTGTCATTGAATTCTAAATTATTACGGCATAAAATGGCCATTTTCTACACACTGTATACATTACATGATACATACCTTGCTCTACCTAGCGCTACAGCTGCTTTGGGGGGGTGGAGTAAAAATCCTACTGGAGAAGAAGAGGGAGGGAAAAAAAAAAACACTTTAAGAAGGGACTGAAAACTAAAGTAAGCCCTTGTTTCTGAAACCTGCTGCATTTTTCACCTTTTCTTCTCAGTTAGGTCTACATAGAGTCCCAGCCAAGTGCTTCTCACTTGATGTGCCCTTTCACAATGAATCTGCTCCAAACAGCTCAAAAGACAGAACTCTGTATAACTTTCCTTCCTACTCTCAAAGTGCAGTAATGATGATCTGTATTTCTGAAGTTTATAACTACTAAAAAGAGAGAAGTTTTGATCCACACAGGAGTTGAGTTTTGATTTTTGAGAAAGGAGGCAATTAAGCTTGTCAGTGATGCAATTGCAGAGCTAACTGTCCATGCTGCAGGAATTCCAAGTAAATAACAGCACTAAGCATTTGTAGAACCACCCTGCTTTCAAGTAAATCTTCCTTCAGAGACCCCCTTGCAAAACAAAGGCCCAAGAAAATATTTTGAAATAAATGACCAGATTCTGAAGTCTTAGCAAGATGCTCATTGGTGTGCAAGTCTACATGAATTTGTTTAATTTTTATTTTCACTACATTTCACTATGTGCAATTTATTTACAACCTCAACAACTGAAGAAACGTATACTCAAGATCAACAAATGTTCAAGGATGGTTTCTGGCTATAAATGGCAGCGCTCTGAATACAGTGTTTTGTTGTTGTTGCTTCTGCTAATTAATTTTAACCAGTTGCCAGTTAAGGAAAGTCAGATAGTCCTCCCTTACAGATGGTATTTGAACATGTGAAGCTCTAAGAGAAATAAGTTTAGAAAGTACAATTTGTATTTTGCATTACTAACAGTTTCAGATAAAAATAATGGGAAAAATACTAAAAACTCATGGAGATTTTACTTCCACAGTGAAATTCAAGAAGTTTAATGAAAGATTTTGTACCAGAACATAAAGTAATCATAATTCAAACATGAGCAGCATGATTGGAACATAGTAAACAATCTCAGTGGAAGACTAGGAAGGCTTTCCTCCACATACTACCCACAGCACAGTAAGTCTTGACTGACATAACTGATCCGTGTAGTGCAGCATCACTAAAGCTGTTTTTAGGATAAAGCCATAAGATTTTTCCAGGGTTTTTTTCCAGAATAGGAAAAAAAAAAAAAACCAACTCTAAGCAAAGTCTTTATAATAAAGTATATTCCCTCTTGTGGCAGAAATAAGCCTTTTAGAAAGTTAGAGATAAAATTCTTCCCCTATTATCTTAATAAAATATAGGTATTAAAACATCTACTTTAATTAAAACTTTTAGTGCTGGTGATTCAGCCTTTACCATACAAAAGATCTACCATAACTTTTAATATGCTCATGTGATTGCATGATGTGTTAAAACTTGGCAAGCTCACTCAAAGTGGTGTATTCTGGAATCAAATTTTTCTGCCACTAAAAACTTTAGCTCCCTAATAGAGGCTGATGTTTGTGAAAGGGCTTCCTCAGCATTCTCTATCTAGTACCTCTCTTTCAACATGATGCGCTAAGTGGAGAAGCGGTTGGTAAGCAAGGTATTTGTATTGACCCCAACCTGACTGACTTTAAATAAGGATAAAGCAAAGGTGCAAGAGTTAGTGACAATAACGCAACTATTCTATTAATACATCACATATTTTCAATGTTAGATCTCAAAGCAGCTGAAAAGACGGCCAAATCCATCCCTGTTCTATACCTAGGCAGTTAAGAGGCCCGTCAGAGGTCAGCAACACAGCAAACTACAAGTTTGGAAGGAGGGTAATTCTGGTTCAGAGCTTGGTACACAAAATTTCTTTCTCAGTCTCCAGTTAAAGCAAGCAATTATCTGGCATAGCAGTATATCCAGACAGCATGTCCTATAGTGAGTGGCGGTGCAAAATATTTTGTCGAAGGGCTCACACGCATTCAGATCCCAAAATGAGGTAGCTCTCAGTATTCTTTCTTCCTCCCCTCCTCTGTAAAGCTTTACAATTTTTTGTGGGTTTTCTTGTTTGTTTGTGTAAAGCTTAGAGACAGTTTCAGAATTTACACGATTAGTTACATTTCCCATCTCTCCACTTTTAAAACCTTCCATTCAAGTAGAGCCATTTGTTGGCCCCAGTTTCTAATGGAGCCATTTTGGTGATTATCTTCAAGTCCCCAAAATAAGCCTACAGTGTCTAAGAGAAATTCAGAGGAAGGTGCTAGCTTTTTTTAAATTCAATAAAGGTCTCCAGCATAAATAAATGCTTGATATTTTATTGAAATATGTACAACACTATCATCATTCACTAAGAAGATTGCCAACCCTCAGCTGCAGAAGGCACTTTCTAAAGAGCAAGTATCTCACCAGGAAAAAGTACATTTCGGGACATGATTTTCAGTGCAACAGGAATGCAATAGAAGTTGCTACACTAACGGCCCATGTTTTGGTAGTTGTGAAGACTGGAAGAAAGACCTCCTCTTACAATGGACAATTAATGCCACCTAAAGCACGTTTATTGCTTTGGTAGCTGCTTAAGTTTTTTTTTTAAAGCTGTCTAGAAGCTTGTAAAGTCCTTGTTATGGTATTTTGAGTGTGGAAATTCAAACTAAGTAAATGAAGCTATTTATTCAATAAAGATTTTTTTCTAAAGGAGATACTAAGTAGAATTATTCTTCAAAACAGAAGCAGCATGTTTCTCCTCAATTTTGAGTTAGTGTAATTCTGGAATAGTCCCACTGAAACCAACAGAATTCACTGATAAAAAGTTCAGTCAAGATAAAAATCCAAGCCAGGTTCCACAAAAATAAATACATGAAGTTTCTTCAAGTAATATTGATTTGTTTTGGATTTTTCTTTTCCAGAAACTTGAAGCCTTAGATTTTTTCCATTCTGTCTCATCAGCAAGTGAGATTCCATGCATTTCTTCTTCCTTGGGTGAAATTCAGTCCCTTGTGTCTCAGTGTGCAAGCAAATTTGGTCACTGCAAATCTGGCAAGGTGTCTGCTGCACAGCGGAAACCCAGATTCGAAGCAGAGCTATCAGGAGTGTTTTGACTACGGGCTGCACAGCGATACCTATAGCAATAGGACTGGAGAGTAAGGGTGGGGGGGAGAGGACTTTAGAGCATATAGAGCTTGTGTTTCCATAGGAAAAAAATTTTGGATTAATATCAAAGCTTTTCAAATGCTGTTGGAAAGAGCAATGAACTGATACGGATCAGAATTGCACATCAGGATGTTAGAAATAAGGAAAATCCCACCAGATAACGAGACCAGTTGCAACAGATAAAATACTGGTTTGAATGGCAAGGTGTACGATCGCATGAGTGTATGTAAACTAATAATGTATCTTGCACTGGGAAAAAGCTAGAATGACAATTCTGCTGCTCCTCTTTTCAGAGAAAAGGAAGCAGGTCAGTACCTTGGTTCATACATCAATATACTAAGGGACAACTGAAATGAAAGGGAACTGGCACCTGTCAAAGGCCTTCCCCCGAATGTGATGTAATGAGAACCGAAGAACTGGAGACAAACTCGTCAGCATTCCTATGGTTAACATTTTAGGGATATCAATGTCAAGATTAAATCTTGACTGGTGGCTACAAGAAGAGTTACCAGTGGCTTTGTTTTAAGCGGAAGAATGATTTAATTGCATTCCAAAAGTTCCTAGTAAACACAATCAGGGTTTCCTCAAAAATAGAGGAACCACTGTCATATTATGTCTTTAAGCGCGAGAAGAGCACAAGATTAGCTGACGGGACTTGTCCTTACACCTGCTAGATAGATAGTCACCTGATGCAACTGCAGCAGCGCATCAGTGGGATTTATCTCAAAAGCTTTCATTACCTGTCTTGTGCTTGCAGGATTTGATATTTGTGACAGACTAGCTTAGATCAAAAATGTCACCTTAAAAGATTCAAAAAACAGACTGCTGCACTTGTAGAGCGCTGTCCGAACAAGTCAGTACAAGTTATTTTGAAAAACAATTTATATGCTACCCAGTGAACCTAAGTTAGAGTGAAATCCACTAGGAACGCGGTCAAACACCTTCTTTACAGTAAGGTGGACACAACTATAGCATGTTTTGTATGTTGCTGGCCTGTACAAATTTGGCCATGTCTCAGTGCACATTAATATCTTTATGCTCCTTGAAGAAAATCCATGCCATTCACAGTGCTACAGATTTTCCGATGTTCAGAGTGATAGTTTCCAAGCACTGCAACAAACTAATCAATTTAAAATATTTGTTGCATCAAGCCAGACTTCCCAGAAGCAGTTAACCATAGTAGCATTTAAGCAGGACAGTCACTCCAATAATTTCACCAATGCAAGCAGAATTTGTTACCCCAGCCTTTCAGGAAGTGATTCCAGCATAATCCACCTTATCCAAGATCGCCCCACCGTGCTGTTCCTTCAACAGATTTGGCTCAGGCTTTGCAGCTCCTACCCTTCCTCTCTTCTCCCACACCTGCAGGCTCCCAGCCCCTGACAAATGCCACTACTCCTTCATGTGGGTGCTTCAGCTGCATCTAGCCAGGCTCTGAAGCAGATTTCTGGATTGACTGGATTAAGAAGCAAACACCACCACGCTTTTGGAGGGTGGGGGTAAGGTTTCAGGGAGGGTGGTTTTTTCCTTCAAACCTAAGTCACTTCAGAGTTAGGGCACAGCTACACAAGTAGTTGAATTTGCCCAACCAAGAGGGGGGTGACAACTTAAACAGGCTCTGTCATCGAGAGACCAGTGTGAACCATGCCATACGTGCAGAGGTGGCGGCACTGATGTTATCTCCATTAAAGTATCTCCATCTAAGGAGACATTCAAAGAACAGTTCTTCACTGAATCTTGGATACCAATGCAAAGCAGAGAGCAGCTGTTGCCCTAAACAGGAACAGTGCATACTGCCACTGTCTCACACTGCAGAGGTCTACAGGTAAACTCCAAAAGCACACTATTCACATTTACAAGACCAACTGTATTGAAAATAAAAGTAGCCATGAAATGTATGTGTAAGCAGCTGCACACTGTAGCCATTGTCAACTCTAGAAGAGGTAGAACAGCAAAAAAAATCTAAATAGATTTTAGCCATTTAGTGAAAAGCCCTTGTACTAGTAATAGTCAGTGGGTTTTTTTGTCTTGATTCACAGCCTACTTTTATCACCTACAAAAAAAAAAAAGGACTAGGACAGACTAGAATCTTCAGATGCCTTTAAAATGGGTCACATTATTCATCACTGAAGAGTCTATTCCAGTGTTAATTTGATCAAAACTGCTAATTAACATCTGACATTGATTTCACTCAAGAAGGAAATCACTGTAGAAAATGGGATCTTGCTATAGAAAATTTAATCTAATTATGAGGATGATTTGCCAGCTGTAGGCTTTGAATGGGAAAGAGAACAGAACAGAACAGCCTTAATGGAAAAGAGAGATACACAATGAGCATTTTTTCCAGGGCAGCATGAACAGAGTTTAAAACATGGCTTCTGTTCATGCAGGTAGCTTTGCAAAACCTATCCTGTGTTTCCCACAAAAAGTTAAAGCAAAAAAAAAAAAAAAAAAAGCTATTTACATTGTGGTGGTATTCATACTTTTCAGAAAGAATTTAAAGTCTACCATCAACTAAGCTGAAAACTTCACCTCCTAGTAATTTTTCTCCAAATATGTTTGTGTGTGTGTCTGTACATACATATATATATATAATTTTTTTTTTGCATTAAGAGTCATTCTAAACCTAAAAATCACATCTGTGCTTTCTAGCATTGTGCTTGAGTGACGCATATAAGACTAAAAATAGAATCAGATTCATGCATCAGTTTTAGGTTTTAGATCAAACGATATACTGGGTATAATAAAACTTTTCCTGCCCAGTGATTTAGCCTGAAATAAAAATTAAAAGACTTAAAAAAAAAAAAATGAATAAATAAATAAATAAATCCATAAGAACATTGGCCATTGCTCTTCCTCAAATTGCAAGAAACTCTTAACAAGCATACAGGCCATCAGGGAACTCTGTTAAAAGATCATTTAATTGTCAGCTCATGTACTTTCAGAAGAAAGATCAATATGAAAATACAGTTACTGCCCAAGATAACTTCATAGCATCTCTGATTTTTTTTTTTCAAAACATAAAAAAAACTTTTTCAGCAGCTAAAAATGAATTATTTTTCTTAAAGCAAATCAATCAGTTTAAGAAAGAAGTGCTCTCTCCACATTCCCTTTTGCTTTTGTCATAAAACCAAGGCATTTGGGGTTTTCTACATTCAAAATCTTTCGTGTATGACATAATCTCTTAATTGGATATTGATATATCCACAGAAATGGATAAACGGACAGAATACTATTGCAGGCACTTTTTATGCCTAAGACAATTCAAAAGAAGAATTTGCCAATACTGACACAGAACTTTGGAATGGGATTTATCTGCAAAAATCTCAGAGTCTCCCTTTTTGCCTCCCTTCAGTTAGGGCCACAAGGGAAGTTTGACTTGGTTTGTCTGAGCAATGTTATGTTCATGGAAGTGCTCTAACCTTGTAACCAGTAAGGCAGTTCTCAAAAGAAAGGTGTAGCACTCACGTTTCAGACAAACAAAGACACATACTCCTAAACATCTCAGTCGATTGCCTAGATGCAATCCATGGACTGTATCACAGTTTTTAAAGCACAGTATTATATCTTGACCCCAAACATCAGAACTAAAGCACTATTAATAGCTTTTACACTGAAGTACATCAGAGTATCATACAGAAAGAGCCTAGATAGTCAAGTGTCTTGGAAAAGATGGGAAAAAAATATATATATTAACAATTCTTGATATCAGGTCCCTTGACATCAAGTTTCTGTATTTTAAGATCTAGTGATAAAGAATTTGGTACTGGAAGTTACCAGATCATTTGATGGTTTTATAATAATTATTATGTAGAACTATCACTAAACAACAGACACTGATGCTGTTTATGTCCATCACATACTCTACAAGTTGAAAAAAGTGAAAACACAAATTCAGTAATCTCCTGAAAAATAAACTGTATCTCCTGGAAAATAAACTGTGTTCTGTTCTCCAAAAATCAAAAATTATTTTCTAGGAAGGAGCTGAATACAGCGGCCTTAAAGCACGTTCAGAACATGTTAAATGGGAAGTATGACATGCTTTGTCACATTATCCCAACTGCCTTGCCAAAAGAGGACGAGTCTCTAGTGTGCATTCAGCTCTAGCTTCGTAAGTTTTAGGTTTAAAAGTCTACACTGACCGTTTTAGGTTTAAAAGTTTGCATCAAACAACATTTGTGCTATTTTGCAAGTCTCCGTGTCAAGTAAGATAACATGGCACAATGTAATCAAATTTTTTTTTTTTGTTTCGGCTAATAAAAGGTCAGCTGTCTTTTTACACTGAGTTTTATATTGAGCTCCATACAATATAAAAGATACACTTGGCTAGAACTATAATTTACTGAAAAAAGGTACTTTGGGGAAGTTACCTTCCACTTCCCATGCAACTGAAACAACTCTGAAAGTCAGAGCTGAAGAAGTTTGTTTTCCTGGGCAACAGTATCTAAGCTTAACTCCTCATTGCCCCAAGAGACATCAGTGCCTCCTTCCAGAGGGTAACTAGCAATGATTACTTTAAGCAATACAAAAAGAATCTGGATAGCTTTTACGCAGAGTGTTTGAATTCTTGTGACATCTGTATCTAATTCCTATCAAGAACTAATTGCCAAATATTTCCTTCAGTTTAGTCTCATGACAGCAGAAATAAATGCAGACTACAGTAGAAAGCAGCCATTTTTAACAACCCACTAGCTAAACCCATGAATTCTACTGTAGGCCTTTTCACATTACCTTATGGCACATATAGGATCCACCCTTCTTCACTTTGTCAGTCCCCGATGAGGGCCCTTTCTGTGGATAAAAGCACACTGGTTAGTATTCCTACAAAGGAGGACAGTTGCCAGTTACAGGGTGAAGGTTCAAAGCTGTAAGAATAAGGAGATGAGTAAGGAGTAGCCATCAGTATTCAAAATAAACTGCTGCTCTATCTGAAACGAGAAAGCTTGAAATGACAACACTGTAAAAGTCTAGCAGATAGGAGAAAGTAATTGTTCTTCCTCTCCATTGCTGCAAATATTTAATATTCTAATTGTTGCCCACCTGTCAGGAGCACATTGTGTTTTATTTCTGTAAAGCACCTGGTAATATGCTGCAACAAGCACAGTGACAAGCATGAAAGAGTAATGATCTTTCAAAACAGATAAAAGATTCTGTAATTTCAGACTTTTCCCAATGAGAGATTATGCATTTTCACACAGGCCAGCGTGCACGTCCAGTGAAACGTGCAACTCTGATCAGTTCCACTGCTTCAGGTCTGAGAGTCACTGCCATGGAGGGTGAAGTAAACACATCTAAGCACCTTATGTTAGTCGCCTTGTAAAGCTATGAGCTTCCAAAAGGAATTTGGAGAAGTTCTGTTTTTCTCAACGCAGTCACACACATACTATGTGGGGGCCAATATAGAACAGAGGCTGTAATGCCCGATGTTTAGGGCTTATTCCCTTTCCAGCCTGAAGTGATGTCTGGAACACAAGTTAGTGACTGCACTGCAAGCTATTTTATTCTGCATCATCTCCCAGTCACTGAGTACTAATTCTGTCATTATGTGTGATCGTGACAGCTGAAAAGGCCTGCAAAAGCACTGCACTTACGAGCAACAATTTTGTAATTGCATGTTCATTTGCAGTTTAATGTGTATGATTTGTTTGAACTGCTTATGAAATTGGCCCTAGAATTGCTTTAATGAGGTTATTTTGCAATTCCTTTTACATTCTAACTCTAAGGGATGGGCCACTAGTTTAGAGGAGAAAGCTAGGATTCCTTGATAACACATTCTGTTGCTAGCTTTGATCCATATTTATTGTGCAGGTGAGCAATTCACACCTCTCACCACATTCCTTTTAGCTGTGAAATAGTTACTACTGCGCTTGCCTAATGCTTAACATTAGAGAATACCGCTGTACTTCAGATTTGTTTCCATTGTTGATGCCAGTCTTATATGCTTTCTATACCCCATGTGCATTGAGAAACTGCTTTTAAGGAGGAGCCAGAAGGATGCATGCCCTATAAAAGCTACAGAGATGATGATCAAGAAAACCAACTGCTATAGATAGGGAGCTGACAAGCCAAGCCTAAAAGTCTCTAGCACCATTAAGAATCCTTTCAGCAAAGTTGTAAGAAGTTCAATTTATGCATGTATTTTTTTTTCCTTCTGTAGCACACGAACATAGCACATGCTAATGACAAACATTTGGTTTTCATATGCAAGTCTCAAACAAAGAATTCATCATTTAACTTGAAGTACAAGCTGCTGCTGCTTCTCTGGTTGTTAGGATATACAAACCAAGTCTATTTCTAGACAAAACACATTAGAAGAATTTGTTGAATACAGGAAAAAAAACAACCACACACGCTGTGAACTTCTCCAAGCACCTTCTTTTTCTGCTATGACCATTACCTGTTATCAGTAAATACAGGTTACAAGAAAGTCATCAACCCAGTTTTTAGGAGTTGAAAAAAAGAATTCATTGCTACAGATTACGTAAGTGATGTAAGCAGAAAGACCAGGCCTTAACAAACAGAAATGCAGTTACTGAAGATAAACGTCACTAGACTAAACCAAGGAAAACAAGACAGTAGGGTTTGTTAGGAGAAACGTTCAGATAATTTTGAAATGATTCAATTTTGAGGAAAAAAGTGCATTTCAAAAAAAAAGCAATTTCAATATGAAAAACAGAAATTTCTAAGTACGGAGAAGAAGATTTCTGATTATGTTTCAACATCTTCAAGTATTCATACTTTACTTTTTTTAATACATTGTCTAGTCCTTCAAGCTTATGAACATAGAAACCATAAAGTGTTCTACTTTATGTGCTGCTGGAGCACTCTACTCTAAGTGTAATAGTCCTGTTTGGATATGGAAGAAAAAGAGTATTAGAAAAATAAAGAAACTTCTGTAATAAAAGATAGATAGATAGATTCAGGAGTTATCTAAAGATAAATCTATGAATTTATCTCTAAGAAAGTAGATTACTAAAGAGGGGATTCCACAAGGAAAAAGCAGAAACCTTAAAACATCACCACTCCAGCTTTTCCTCAGTGACCGCTGACTTGACCTGTTTGGTTACACCTGGGTTACCAAAGGTAACGTTCTAAAAGAATTAGCGCAGGAATCTGTAACACTGCATGTGTCATGGGCACTTGTAAAAATTGAACTGAAAGTTAATGCTAGTACCACAGATGATACTGACTGCATCCACCGAGACTTACTGCTTTAAGAGTCTCCATTTTGAAACTCTACTGGTTTCCCATGTATTGCAAAAGCTTATAGGAGACACACTAGAAAAGACAGATTGGGCCTACTACTGCATCTAATAGCCTACAATTATTCAAGGAAAAACACACCCACAGGTGGTGTCCATGAGTTTCCTAACCTGGGCGCTCCTCACCGGATCTGCTTATGCTGCTTCCAAGGTCTCTGGAAATCGACTCCAGAACACTCACATGTAAATAAACGCACTGAGCCCTGCTCTCGGATAAGCACAATCAACTCAAACAGCCTGTTAATCTCATTTTAAGGGAAGCCAGCAAAGAAAACAGCCAACCATAAGAAAAACTGACCTAAAAAAAGCTACATGAGAACAGGACAAAACAGAACAATGGAACTGTTGAGCAGGATTTCTCATTAGAAGCTATAATGCAAGAACAGCAACCTCTGCTACTAGCTCAGAAGTAACTCTTCAAAAGTAAGAGGAGCATGCTAATCTAGGATTAAATGAAAGTTTATTTTACTGTCCAACCATAAGACTATAGTATGCTCCAGCAATTACAAAGGGATGACACATACTGAGGCATAATGTAAATAAGAACATGCTAAATGCATAAGCTCTTTTTATTAATTAGAAATATCTTCTGCCAGACAAGAATTGACCATCACAGGTCATTTGGTAACGAAGAACAAGTTAAATTGAAAACCTCTGCTTCTGAAACAGGACTACAGAACTGAAATGCTTAACCACTTGAACGGCACAACTTTGAGGCAGTACTCTCCAATAATCTATTTTATTAGAAAACTTCCTCTTAAGAGAAAATTCTTTCAAGTCACTGAAGGCAAGGAGTTCATTATAGAACAATTGAGAAAGTTCTCTGAAAACAGAAATATCATTAGAGACATTAGTTGGAGAAATATTCACTGCATGTTTGACAATTGTCTATGGGCTTACATTTAATTTTCTTGCTGTTGGTATTTCCCTGTCTTGCTCTGCAGTTTAGCAAAGATAAAAGGAGGTTGGGATAACCTGATTTCACTGTAGTTGTATCCAGCTCTCTCTCTATACATATACACACACAATCAAATGCACAAGTAACTATGCAAGAGACCAGACTGATAAGCCCCTTCTCAGCTCATGACTGCACTCAAATTAGTTTTTCTAAATGCATGCTTTCTGTGCGCCCATCGGGAAGTTAAAAAAGTCCAAGGTTAGAGTGCAGTGAATTCAGTTCTCCATCCTAACGTTAAAATTCAGCTTACAAAAGCTCTGAAAGTCCCATTTGAAAGCTACTGTAGAGTTAAAATTAGAACGGCAATATTGAACATAGCAGGCAGCAATTATGCTTTCATCCAATATGCAGCTCAGCTTCTCTACAGAAGGCACCACATATCACCAAGCTCCCTAATAAAGTCACATGGGCTGCTCTGAAAGTAACTAGGACTAAGCAAAAAAGACACTCTTATTCCAGACTGATGAACATGCCCATAACCATTTACTTTTTTGTACTTTCATATTACAGGTTTGCCTACTGTAAGAGAACTTGGTATTGGAAGGAAATGTTGCATCCTCTTTCTCTAATGGTTTGCTTTTGCATCCCATGCAAGCCTGCCGCTCAGTGCTGGACAGAAGAGACAGAAGATCGCTCATGAGAAGTTCTCCAGCAAACAGTCAGCAGCCCAACAGCCAAGACACAGAATTTATGTTCCTTTATGTCAGCAGTCCCTTACCATAGCTTCTGGGTGAAGCCTCCCAATAAGTTCACAGGTCAGCTCCACCACTGTGGTAAGACTCAGGGAAGCACAGTTCTTCTTCCACTGTATCATCTCGGGTCTTATTTTTCCATCTTCCTTTCTCTATCCCAGCCTTCCTGAAGAAAGCTCAAACACGTGATGTGCAGGAGGGAACTACCTGGACTCTATTTACTTAATGTGTGAAGTAGAACAATTTTGTCCAGGTAGGTAGAAGGGTACTTCAGCTCATTTGTCTACTTGTAGGGTGAACCCTCTCTCCTATCCAACATAAAGCCCCGTTCCCAGCTCAAAACAGAGATAAAGGAAGAAGCCAAGTCCCCAGATCCTCTCAGCAGCCTTCTGTAGATTAATTATACCTACAGAAATAATTATTTGTTTTATGTACATATAAAACACTAGGCAGAGGGTCTACAATTCCGAAGATGACACGCACTTGTATTTCTCCCCAATACCTTTTTTTTTTTTTAAATCCATCCTAAGGCAGCCTGAAAAGGGCATATGCAGGAGGTTGCATATGCGTGTTGGGGTGGGGAGGACACTTTATTGTTTTAACTTGGGGAGTTTCTCCTAATGGAGAAACTGCTCTCCTGCAGCTCAGAGTGATACTCTGACCTGCCTTGAGACGACAGTCTCCCTCCTCCACTCCCAATAACTTCAGAGAGTGCCTAGGAAGACAAGCCTCTCTGAGCTGAAACACAGAGAAAGGGGCTTCAACAAGGGTTACTATTTCATAAGACTTTGACTTAAATGGGCAAAGAGCTCATCTGAGATCTTGTAAAGCACTGAAAGCCTTTCTGCAGAACGGTCACACAACAGGCTATTCCTTTTCCTTACACAGGTTTGGTACTTGACGGTTTGTTACTAAGAGGCAAAAAACACCAGGGCTCCAACATTTTGAAGCTCACAATCAACAGCCTTCCTTAGAAATGCAGAAACATATACAGAAGTTTCATTATCTACAGACTAGAATAACATCTCTCAAGAAACTGAAATCTCTGAAGAGCCAGATGCCCCTTACAAGCAACACCCTGTTCCCAACACGATGCACACAAGTTCCAAAAAATCACCCTCTGACTGGAGCCCTCTCTGGGTAATCGCCCTCCTACCTACATTACTTGGTTAAGCTTTCTCTTCTCACTAGCCCTCACACCTTTAACAGACTGAGAAATGTAAACTAGTTCCTGACTGATCACTTGCTGACTAGAGGGTGCCAGAAGAACTTCACTGCTTTGCCTTCCGCAGAGCTCCCAGACTCTAGGTATGGCTGCCTGAACAACCAAGGACCCCCCAGCCCCAAGTCAATGGCTTTTCTATAATACGTTCATTTAAAATATCTGGTAAGGCAAGAATATTATCTAACTTTGGCCAGACAGAATGATACAGCTCAATATTGCTTACTCCTTATATTTAACAAAGGAGAGAAAGCCTGCCACGTTAGTATTTGCTCATGCTTGTATCTTCCTTGCAGATAAAGGAAACTTATTCTGATTGTGCTTACCCATAATAAAAGCTAATCAAAGAAGGGCAATTACTGGTAACGTTTGATTAAAACGAGCAAAACGTTGTTCCATCAAACAATATTGTTTTATGCCATTATCTTGAGAACTGCACCATCTGGTACTAACATGGAAGTACATTTGCTGCCTAAAGCTAAAAAACTGTCCGAATCAGGGCTGTCCGGACTTTGAGCCCAGATTTACAGAACTGAATTCACTGTATATTAGCAAGTTACTTTTGTAGTGTAGTATTGCAACAGGTATATTCTGGTCTGGGTTCATAATCACAGCTGTTTGTGAATAGCAATCAAACTTTATAAATAGGATTACTCTTTACAGAATTATTAAAATGCATAGAAGCTTTTTTTTCTTTTCCAAAAGGGAAGTGGTATTTCTTTCATTAAGACAAAAAAATATGAGCTTTCTGAAGTTGCATCATAACTTTTTGTGGTTGCATCACAGTAAGAACAGGTCACAATTGAGAGAGAGACTGCATGCCACTTGAAATACCTTAGAAACCTTAGAAATGATTTCTATTTCCATGTATAAAATAACTGTCTATGGAAAAATCTATTTTATATTTGCCTTATTCTAGTTTCTGTTCTGGACTCCTGATACATGAGATTTCCACTGGAGTATCCTATTGCACTAGATGAACGTTACTGACTTTTTTTCTAGGAGAGCAAAAACCTATTATCTCACATGAAATGCGAGGCCCATTCATTGTGTTCCAGTTGATAAATCAGGATCACTTCATCTGTGGACATTCACTACATAAAAGTTGTTACTTAACACCCCAAAGACAGTATTGTTAGTTGCTTTCAGAGCTATTCTCTCAAAGTGCAGTATGCTATCTCCACTGATCCCACATGCTGTAAAATGGGTGGTTAAGCCCTGATTCTCTCATTCGTTCAAGTCAAAAAATGAAGGAAGACACTTGCAGTTCATTTCACAACAAATCTGCTGAGAGTCTGAATTCAAAATAAAAACTACTTGCTCCTTACGTTTTGAATAAGTCAGTATTACTATACTAATAAATGTATGGACTAGAACAGTTGAGGAGATTTCTAATTATGGAAGTGTTGCACGACATTTTTAAAGAAAAGCCTGTACTAACCAATCTCTAGTTATACCAATGCTCTGCTCTTCTCAAAAGTTACATCCATTAAACAAGCGTCTTTGAATGCTATGCACTTGGAAGTTCTGTCTGCATCCAGAAAACCCCCTATTACCAACAGGGTCTAGTGTTTCTGGCACTTCATAGCTCACAGCTTCAAGGACACAGTTCTAACTTGGTGTTCTGTATATTTCTTGCACTGTGCAAAAAAAATGAACAAACAAAAAATAAAACAAAAAAGCTCTCCAGTTTGTTTCTTTAGCTTCAATACTGACCTATACAGGCCCTACCCCTGGCAAAGAAAAGGAAGAACATTGTTTTCCCATTGTTAGAGCACAATTTAAGTCTAGTATCTTAGAGTAAAGAACTTGCAAAATACTTGCAGGTGCTCCAGGTTTTTTATTTTTGCTCTTGGTAATTACTTCTGAATACAAGCCTGATCAATTGCATACAGATTCCTTTTCTCTGTAAGATACCATACACTCCTTATAACCAATCCACAGCACACCCTGAAATCCCTCCAGTACCAGAAAGCTGCTCTGAAGTTTTCAGGTGTTGAACTAAATATGTTACAGACTTTCACTGAGCTCTGACCCTCTAGAAGAACTCCTAGTCTTTTAGGCAGAAAGCACACATCCTATATATAGGTTATGTTGACTTGTACTCTGGAGAGACTTGAGAGATTGGATTCTGATAGATGTGGTGCTAATCATTTTTAATGTCTCAGAAGATAATGCAGCCTGGCTATTTTGGGAGACCTTTTTCACATTATGAGATTCAGTTTCCTTATCCGTTTAATCAAAAGAACTCTTTGGAATTCACTTCAAAGTGTTCTGCCTCAGACACTAAACTCTCACAATTTATTTCCAAATTAAAAAACTAAAAGCTTCACTGTTAACACCTCATTGTTAAATCCTTTCTGAAGTGTTTGGGAAATTTTGTGCTGAATTTAAAAGGCTAAGCAAACTAATAGCTACTTACATTGAAACAGAGAGCAAAATTGCTCTCATAAACAAAAGAAGATGAAGTTAACTAGCACCAATAGGAGGGACTAGATTAGTTGAAAGCTACAGTTTGGGTGAAAACTGCTGGCGATTCTTTCCAATATAACCACAGGAACTTCCACATAACTTATTTAATGACCTGTAGGGACCACCTACAAAAGCATGCAATTTACGCCAAATAAAAGCTATAAGGCATTGCCAAAGCTGATACAGACCCTTTACAAGACCATCCATAAGAAGACTAATTCGCATTACCATATGCTAACCTACAGAGGAAAAAAAACACACGAAAACATATATGGGTGCTATACAAAAGTCATGACTTTCAACTTTAAGTTCTTTATATAGACGGTTAACACTGCTTTTTCTTGACAGAAAGTTACTAGCCTAGTTACTCTTATCTATCTGTGTTACCGCTTCTGTCTAGGCATTTTCCTGCCCTGACAGGTCACAGTACATTGACGTTTAGATCGAGTTACCTAAGCAGAAAGAGGCAGGTGACAAGAACTAAAGTTGCTGTCAGACTAGACAACAGATGAACAAGAACAAGGACAGTTGCAATATGCTACAAACTGTCAAACCTGTGTTCTTTCCCAAGGACACAGATGCTGTTTGTCTCAGAGGGGGTGTATGTGCGTATGTTGAGGAGGGGGCTCTCTTTTCCGCTAAGGTACCACATGCAGTTCATTTTGCTTTAATTCCAGGCACTGTGGTGAAGCTTCAGTAGCGAGAGAGGTAAAGCACAAACTTCCCTGGTATAAACTCTGGTGTCTACAGAGTCCGGAACAGAAAGATCAGCCTTATTCACTCTTCCTCCTCCTCTGACCCATCAGGCTGCAATCAAGTGTTTTTGCTCTTCTCTTCTTACATGGGAACGTTTGCTAGTTTTACTTTTCTTCACTTTCATCCAAATTTACATTCTGCTAGCTATTCAAGATATCATCCTTAGAGATGCAGCTCCTAAACAGGCCTTACCTCTGTTCATGAGGTACAAAGACATTGGCCCTTAGTTGCATAAAGCAGGAAACTGAAGGGAAGCAGAGTTAGAAGACCGGAAAAGTACTTTTCCTAAAGAAAGTTGGCAAACAGAAAAAAATCTGAAGAACCAGTCTGAATGCCAAGTATAAGAAGATCTAAATATCAGTGTATATAAATATCAGCTGTATGTATAACCCATGAATCAGTGTTAGACATATAAATATTGACCTATCTTTTTCCAAGACGCACAGAACTCATACAATACAGCATATCCATTATTGCCGATTTACAGAACCTGTTAGAAAACTTTGGTTCCTGTGAAATATCCAAATTGCATCAAATGAATTGTGTGGTGTGCCGAAGAGATAGTGGACTGAAATACACCACAAGGTCCCACAGGAAAAGGGTCTTTAGCCATTGCTAGACTACTAAGACTGCCTAGCAACACAAACACTAGAGAGTACCCCAACCTACTTTAAATTAAGCAAGAAAAAACCCATAATCCCTTCAAAAAGAATATATGCAGTGCACTGACAGACACATAACAGAACACACCGGAAGACATCCTGTAGTATCTTACTGGGATGCAAGTAACTTGATATTGGCCAATGTGATTGGATGTTTCCAAATTATTTGGATGCGTTTGGATGTTTCCATCCATGTGACAGAACGGCTAGTACTATCTAGGCCCCAAGATGAATCTGGTTTCTCATGCTGGCAACATTCTCCTGAAAGAGCAGCAGAATGTCAACCTTTGCAATGTACCAAACAGCAAGAAAAAGAAATTAACAAGTTCCTCAACCTGCTTGCAGTTGCTGACTTCTGAGAAAGGACTGCAATTATGTCAGGCGTCCAAGCAAAGACCACAGATATAAGAGAGCACAGCGCAGGGATACTCAAATGCTGCAGCAAACTGAGATACCCCAAGAGGTTTAACCGATTCTCTCATTACAGACAAACGTGTCTGAACAGAACAAGCTCTGTAAGAGCGGCACAGTTTACTTCTCAGATTTAGTCATCCTGGATAAATGAGAGAGAAGGAGATGTAATATTAGAACTTGAATCTGCCGAAAGATACTGCATGAGCAATCCCTCATACAAAGCTTATCCAGCTGGGCCTCTTTCTCTGGCTGCTAGACACTACATCCAAACCACAAAGAAAAGGAGAGACTTGGATTAACCTCTCAAGGGCTGGTAAGCTACTTCTCCCCATAAGTTTCAGCTTCACGACATATGGAATTACAAATGAACTAGTAGAAGCCATAAAGCTAATTCAGGGCAGTTTGTTCTCTCCTGGAAGGAGGAAAAAAAAAAAAAAGTGAAAGAAGTACAGCTTGTAGTAACACAGCAAAACAATCAAGTTTTTTTTTTTTTCCTTAAATTAAATAATTCCAATACCCTGTTTATTTAACCTGATTCTAGTTTGGAAGCATTCAACTCCTAACCAGTTGTGGAGGCCACTCCAAAAAAAGTAAAATAAGAATTGTACTACAGCAATAGAATTTCACTGTTGATGACTTGCGGGTGCGATACATGGGATGGGCTGTGCTCTTGTAAGTCAGGATGTAAGACAGTAGAGAGGCGCAAAGAGCAGTAGAGTTTTAAACAGCCATCAGACCAGAGTAATAAGAGGGAGTCTCTTATCTCATCTAGCGTCAACAAAACACTTACAGGATTGTGAGCTTCGTCTGCTGAATGATGAACAGCCCACCAGTCAGAAGTCCATTCCCAGGCATTTCCTACAATGTTGTATAAGCCATATCCATTAGGAGGAAATGCAGTGACCTATACAGGGTACAGAGAACATAAGTGCTAGTTCTTTCAGCCACTCCAAATAAAAATAAGGTTTTTATACTGAAGATCCATCTGCTGAAGGTGCACTGATCTTTATCAGAAGCTTCTGCCTTCATATCTCAAAAAAGCAGACACTGAACCGGTAGTGCAGAACTGTAACACCCGGACATAATCTATTAGTGATTTTCTAACTTTCATCCCCATTGTTACAACTTCCAGATTCCCCTACTCCCCCCGCCACCAACCCCAGCAAAGAAAAGCAAGAGTTGTTAAATCGTGCATATAGATTTCCCTGCCGATGAAACTCTTTAGACTTATTTTAACTAGCATTTAATAATTCATTCACATCCTTGATTATCTTTAAAATTCCACTGCCTTCCTCCATGCTAGGCCGCCTCATTCTTCTAGAAAGCTAAAGTTTCATTTCTTTTAAAACTACTGCACAGTGTTTGTGGCTTGGGAACAACTTAGCAAAGTGAGAGTTAAAAAAAAATTGTCATGCCAAAAGTGGAAGCAGAAAGTATTTCAGCATCTGACTCAGAACTACTGGGGCAGGGGGGAGGAAAAGAGGTCAGTGACAAAGACTAAAAGTTAAAATGAAAGTAATCTTTACTTTTCAATTAGCTTAAAAAAAAAAAAAAATAAAAGTCCCCTGGTAATACCTAAGCCTGCAGTGAAATATATCATAGCTTGAACATCTAGAGGTGAAAGAGAAGAGTACAGTAATAGATAACACCCATGGTTCACTGTGTTGAGCGCAGACCTCAATTTTAGGAAGGCTAAGTTAGTTTCCTTATCATTAATCTACTCTGAGACACACTTACAGGTGCAGTTCCTTTGTATCCATCCTCTGCAGTGTTATTGGTTGGGAACACTCCCTGCCAGATGTTGACATAATGCTGACCTTTTGGCTGAAGCTTGTTGCCCCACGGGAAAAGCCTGTTGAAAAACATGCAGAAGAACGATAGTCAAAACATAGCTCAAAACAAATTGTAAAGCAACTTCTTTATTCTTCATAAAGAATACTTACGCTGGGGAACCGTACGTATAGAATATACACAATCTGTATTCCAGGTGTACTGATATCCAGCAGGCTTTAAAAGAGAGCAAGGGTTCAACAAGGACAATTTCTATAAGGAGTAGGAAAAGCCTACATCATTAGCCCTGCCCAGTGCAGTATGTAGTGCAGGATGCAGGAAGGGGAAGTTATAAAACCGTTAGTCATCCTTGTTCTCCCCTTCCCTCCCAAGCAGTCACATAACAGGTGCATCCAGTGACTCTGCAGTTGCTGTGTAGTAATGAGTTATTTACTCCTCAAGCTCTTCTGCAACTCCTTCAGCCTTGGCACTAAGCCTCTGTGCCACATCCCTCATCTACAACAGCAGCAGTTCTCTGCATCTTTGCACCTTGCCACTTCTCCTCCCCCCTCACGTTCTGTGTTCTCTTCCCATTACAGAGTTCAGATTATAATCTACCATTTACATATTTAGGGAAATTCACTTACACAAAGGAATCAGTTCAGAATAAGTCTGAGTTATATTTACACATACCACACAAGTAAAAAATATGGAGGGTAATAAGAAAATCCACACAGCTCTTCCCTATCTAGTAAAAAACAGTTTTAAGCATTTACTCAGGCAGACATTCTTGACAGGTACCTATTTTCAAGGCCCCCTCGGCAGCTATATTCCCATTCAGCCTCAGTTGGTAATCGTTTTCCTGCCCATGTGCAAAAAGCTAGAGCATCATTCCAGGAAACATGAAGAACTGGATGATCCATTCTGGAGGAAAAAAAAAAAAAAAAAAAGGGAAATAAAAAAGACAAGATCAGTAGCAGTCTGACAACTTTACAGCACAACCACTTTATGAAAAACTTAAAATAGAAGGCCACAAAGGATGGTGAGAAAGTTTCACAACCTTGTTGTATCAATTACAATTGGATGAAGTATCAGGTAAGACAGCAGATCTCTAGTAGAAATTTAAAAAGATGGTGGATGGGGAAAGCAGCTATCAGAGAAAGGGAAACAAAAAAAAAAGTTGTTTGTCTCACCATGCTTTTATATACAGCTCTCTACAGTAACCAGAAAGACATTTCTAGCTTGTGCTTTCCCATGTTCTCACCTCAGAAACCTGCTTTACTTCTAGGCCTGCAGCATTAGTACTTACTTCTAGGCCTGCAGCATTAGTACTTACTTCTAGGCCTGCAGCATTAGTACTTACTTCTAGGCCTGCAGCATTAGTACTTACTTCTAGGCCTGCAGCATTAGTACTTACTTCTAGGCCTGCAGCATTAGTACTTACTTCTAGGCTAGTTTAACTGTATCTTAACAGGAAACCAAGATTCTTGACTGAAAAATTTAGGTTGCAATTTAATGCTATACAGAGTTGTTCTCAACTTCCCTGTGCACTCCTCTTTGCTGCAGATCCTTTACAATTACTGGTTGTCAGTTTGATTATTACTTGTGGGGTTTTTGGAGAGAGAAGCAAGAGAAGAAAAAGGAATGAGTCCTTATCGTAGCATCACTATTTTTCACAGCACCCAATCCAGGAAATAGTGAACAGCAGAAATTTAACAAAAAAAATATTTTTCTGTGTGTTTTAAGGAGTTCACTTTAAACAAAGGCTCCTGTCTTTCCTTTGGTTTAGTTCCCAAGCTTGCTCTTACCATCCTGGCCTCTCTTTCCAGAGAGAGGCTGAAACTGTTTCTAGTCATTCTTGTCGAAAGAATCCTGCCCATCTGAGCCTCTAATAGAGTGAGATACTCCAAGAGCTGAGGGTTCCGGCTGAAAAGATATAGGCTTCCTATTTACTTGCCTTTCATGCCTCATTTAACAAACCAGTCTATGCCTGTTGGTTCACTAGACTGTTTCCATGCAGTGAGTTCTCACAGTTGTACTAGGCTAGGTTTGCACCACACTTCTACAATACAAAATTTACATGGCAGGTTTCCAACTCTTATCTGCTGACTGTGACCTAAATTTCTCCATCTCCCCTTACAACACCTCCTGATATCATCTCTCTCTATTTTTACCTCAGATAGTTCTTTCATTGCCCTTGGAGAACAGACAATGGACTTGTTACTAAGCAGTTTAGCTATCAGATAGTGTTACTCTGATGTAGCCCTGTCCTTAGGGAACTCAAAAACATGCCAACATCTAACCTAGATCTAGGCTAGAGAGCAACTTTATTTCAAGCAGCAGTGTTGAAACTTTCGCTAGTTAGATTAAGCAGTTAGTGTCAACTTCATCATTATCCACAGAGTGAGAGAAACAAGTTAAAATATAAGATGTCCCAGACAAGCACAGTCACATCCAAGAATGCATGCAATAATACAGTAACCTGCAACAACTGCTTTCAACACGTGCAGCCAAGGGCTAGTTCTGCAGTATCTACAAGGAGTACCCGAGAGTACTTCTTATTTTAGAGGCATAAAATTCTTCCCAATTCTGAACTTCTGTACAAAGATGTTGGGCAGTAGGTTTCAAAGTTCACCATAATAAAGCGTAGCACTAACTTATCTGTAGGCTGTTAGAGTAAAGTCTTCCAAGGCATCTGGCTTCCTAATAACAAAGCCAGCGCCGACCTGCCACGATAAGCCATCTACAAAGTCACAAAATATTACAATGCACAAACTCTTCAACGTCCTGCTACCAGAGAGAGGCGCCTCCAAATTCCAGATGGCAGGACATATTCCGGATAGACTCCCAGAACATGCATGTAGCTAGCGTTCAGTCTTTCCCTCCAAAACTAGATCTGCAGTGAATTCACTCTGAAGTTACTAACCCTCAAAGGATCTACTGTTCTAGTCACGTTTGTATATCAATAGTGAAGCAAACACACTGAAACACATTTCAATACAGTCTCTTTTCCCTTTGCTAGTAAGTGCTTATAAATCTATTTGAAATACCAGCATGGCACATACTGACCATACAAACACTGAATATTGCATGCAACGCACCAGAGGAAATTAAAATGGTCGCACAAGCAGGAAAAGCAGCAAACAAAACCAGTCAAAAAACACTTTTTCCACCTCCATTCCTGGTGCAAGTTTGCAAGTATATTTACAGTAAGCACTGCACATTAAAACTGAATGGCCATTTACGGCTTACCTCTTTAAGATACTAGAGTCAGGACCTTCAGGGTGTTTCCAATTGGCTCCCTTCACAGGCAACCACCAAGGAGCAGCTGCAACCTGAAAATGGACAAGAAAGGCCAGGAAAGGTGGTCATCTAAATGTCTGGTTAAAGACTATTCTAAAGAACAACCATGTGACAAACAAAAACACAGCTTAAACTCATAGCTCAAGACTGCCTGCTGCTGATTGACCTACTACTTGCCATATCATCTCTGACCAGCCAGGATGGTCATTTGCTCCGCATTACAAGGCTGCTGGCCAGGGAAGAGCCAAAGGTATGCAGTAGCACAAAGAAAATACCACCTGAAAAACAAGCAAGGGAGAGAAGCCAAGTCCTGAGCCCACTTTTCTGAAGCACTGGATCTTGTCTGGATGTCCCTTCTTCCCTTCTGGATTTTCCTCGCCTACAAGCCTGACAAAACAAGCCACTGTTCGTTCTCTGAAGGCACAGCCTTCAGCACGCTACTTGAGGCTGAATAGACTCTCCTCTCAGAAATTCAGGTATAATTCTTGACCTCTGGAAGCCTATTCCAAGTACACTCAGACAGTATTGTTGGAAAAGGTCATCTGAAACGTTACAGCTTTACTTGAACCTTCCACAACTTTATGCCTACAGTGCAGTTAATCCGACTGTTGACTTCCTAGCTGGTTTTGGTCTGATACATTCTGCAGAGAGGATTTGGTTTTAGTTTAAAGAATTTTCATCTCAATTGTTTGGTTCCTAGAACCAGCATTTTGGAATAATTAAAACAAAATCCTGATGACATCAACCTTTAACGAGGGTCAAAACACATCTGGCACCACATTTTGCTTTCTAGTTAATTAACTCGTAAGTATTTCCTATCAGCTTCCAGAAGGTGGAGACAAAAGAGCCACAGAAGTCTAGCGGAGCCTTTTTTCATTCGGTTTGCCAGGTAACATCAAGCTTGCAGACAAAATATGCTATAACACAATGCAGTCATCAAGTATTTTTCTAACCAAAAGTCTCAACATACGCATGGCAGAAATAAGTCTTTGGCACTGCAAAATAAGTGTAAGGATTTCTTCTATTACACTTACTTCCAAGCTGAAAAGGTCACTGCATAGCACTATTCTCTTCTGATTTGCACTCACTTTGAAATACCTGTCTTAATTATGTATCCTTTCAGAAAATTTAGGCAAAAGGAGAAAATCCACATCAACCACCAGTAGCTATTTTTTTTCCCCCTCGTAACTTAAGCGCTCACTTCTGAAATACTCCTGTCACAGGGATATTTTCCATAATGAATAAAAATTAAAGTAAATAAGCCCCCAATGCTTTAGGAGTTAAATGAACTGCCAGATAGTTAGCACTGGACTTAGGAGATCCAGACTCCTCTAATACCAGTCTGTAGAACAACCATCAGCAACACCTGCCCCTGAGCTTTCCCCCACCCTCAAATTAAGAGATGGCAAAAGGAGCCAAAGATACAGCAATTTTTGTTCATCCTGGTCCTGATAAATCAGCTCTGTGATGTGTTAGACACATAGGTAGGAATCATGCCAAGATGGTGCTATCCTCTAACTTGCCAAATCATTCACAGGAAGGTCCAAAGGTAGAATCATTGAAAAGCGATGCTCAGAAGACAGAACACCAGTCTGACCACGCACTTTTAACAGCAGCTTCGGGCAAGCTGCATCCTTCAATGAAAGGAAATGTAATTTTATATTTCACCTATGCAAAATTATCTACATCCGTAAGTCATTAAGAAAACCTCTGGTCCAAACAACATCTCAGATCCATCACTTGGATGTTTCAGTAGGGATATGAACTGAACTGCTTAAGAAATAGGAGTGCTGCTAATATACAAAGACATGCGATTTTATTTTTTTAAAGCATTTGATCAATCTATATAGCTTTCATAATAGTTTTTCACTCTTCTCCCATCATCACATATAGATTTTGCCCAGGGCAGATGACTGGGTAGCTTATCTAAAGGCACACTGTAAATCAATAGCAGTCCTGGATTAAAGCTGTAGAGAGCTGTTGGCTCCTAGCCAGGAGTCTGGCTAGAAAGCCCAGAGCTCTTTGCAAGCGCTGGAATCCCTGAACACACTGCAGAATCCCAGGACGCCTCCTGGCAAGGAAGCCATCCACACACACTGGCTCTTGACTCTTTCGCCCAGAACGAGCCAACAGAAGACATTTGTGTTAAGTGCAGAAGAAAAAAAGAAGCTCTCAGCAGCTTGCTGACTGAGATGTTCGACCCACGTGTTCTCCATCTAATTGGGATGTTTTAGGCATACCAAAGTAATGGCATATGTCAGAGAGCCTGCAATCTGATCTCCCTACCACGACAAGCACACAAATCAATAGCGTCAACATTAAGCATATAATTCTGGCTCAGTAGCTACCAAAACCATCAGCATTCTCACCACAGGGGGCTTTTTTCCTCCCTCCTCCAAACCTAATCCCATTAGAAAATACAGCTCTGTTACTGAGCATTCAAACTCAGAGATGGGACTTCTGTTCAGAGAAGCTACCCAGCTCAACTTTCACAGCACTAACCTATAAGCTTCAGAATGACCAAGCTGCTAAACAGATACTATAGTTAATAGGCTTAAAACTAGTCCGATTTAACCAGTTCCTAGTATATTTTGAGCTTTAGTCTTTAATCTATACTCAAGATAGGCTAGAAATCCAAAGCAGAATTTGCGAACTCTAAGGAAAATAAGAGAGCCACAGTATTATTACTAAAGGTTCTCCAGGAACCTGAAAGATCAGTAGTAAGATTTCATCCAGATAGTTGATGAAAGCACATCACATTTCTGTAAATTAAGTTAAGTTTCTGGGGGGAAGAAAAAAAAAAATCTTTGCAAGAGACTGCCAAGACTTATTCTTTAGAAGACTAATTTTGGAAAACATTTTTGTTGTTCTTGCTCCATGGACAAAAAGCAAAAGTAAAAAAAAATCCCCCCAAACAGATGCTTTCAATCAGAAGGGTTTATTTTAAACTAAGAAAAATACAGTCTCTCCACATGAGAGCACTATGTGTGCATGTCTTCTGTTTCTGGCTCTGCTGAACTGAACACCAAATGGCTGCCAGTCTTTGCAGAACACCCAGATCTTTAGAGAAGTTATAGATACAGTACTAGGACAAGATAACAGTGATAGACTATGTACAACCTTCAATAATGAATGGCAAACTAGTCTAAGTCAGCTACTGACACCAGTGAGCATGCACCAAGCTGTTCCTTCCGAAAGGAAAAAAAAAGCCATGCACCTGAAATTTACAGTCCTTTCAAAAACTTCTCAGAAGTCTTTAAAGCTTTTAATTGCTCTAAATCTAATTAGCAGAAGAGCTGATTAGACTGAGATATTACAACATCACATTTAATACAGCAAAGCCTTTCCTTGCCACTAATGAGCTTAGTTACTTTCATGATGCTGAGCGTTCTCATACTTCACTCCTAAACATGTGTTCTGCAGACGGGCAAGAGATTCATTTTGTAAAAACAGCAGCATACACTGCTGAATAGTAGATCCTGAAGAGGATACAGAGTTAAAGGACATAATCTGCTTTGTTTTGACCAACTCTTTACAGCATAACTTATCACTCGTAACAGAACTGGTCAAACAAATATCAACTCTGCAAACGTTACACAACTGCCTTGATACATAAGGGAATGCAGTTATAAGAGCAAAGCATGCTTCAGAGGCAGAAAAGCTCAGTGCTTGTTTTGGTCTGTTCCAGCTGCAAACGTGGATTATCCAGCTCTCTGCTCCAGGATTAAAGTTTAAGAACTCACTGTTCTGCTTATCACAGGCTCTTAGTACTGCGAAGAGAAGAAAACATGATATGGTAATCCTGTAAAGATTTATTAACAGTTGACTCCATCCTACAAGTTTTCCACCCAAATGAAGCAATTTGCAGAACTGAAGCCTGCCCTCCCACTATCAGCTTGTATAAAACTGAAAGTTTTAAGCATTCAATTTTCTTTTCAAAGTAGGCTGGGACAGCCTAACTTTAATTGCTCCATTAACTGTACTGGTGACTTTAGAATTTTTAGACTACTTACCAATTATCTTGAAGAAAATTCGTTCCTAAACATACATGGAAAATGAAGGGTAGGGGGAGAGAGTTGGGAAATCAAAGTTAGTTTCAGCAGCAGCATTACACTGTGACATTACCGGCACTGCAAAATAAGCTCAGGAACATTGTTTGAAAAAGTCAGCCAATAACCATGAAAAAGCATTTGTATTGGTCTTGCATCTAACAGCATTAGTCATGCTTGGAGGAAGGGGAAAAACCCACACACCAACCAAACCTTCACTTTGGCCCCCAATTTTAATTACAAATTGCATTTATGCATTAAGAGAGTTAACGAAAATAAACTCAACTAAATAGCTAATCTCAGATCTAATTCCACTTCCCATGCTCAGTAGATTACTTGAAATAACAAAGCTGTTCAACCTCAAGTTGGGCCCATAAGATCATACGAAATTCATGCTGTTGTCCAGACATGCAGCACCAAGCATACTTTTTGATGTGCTATTATTTTAAAATATTATGATGTTTTAATCATAAGGTTCCTAATCATAGCAACGTCTGCATTCACAGTTTTTTTTTTAAAAAAAAAAAAAAAAACATATTAGCAGTCAGCTTCATACATCTGAAGTTATTGCAGAGTAAGAAAAACGTTAACAATCTAGGAAACAACTTGTCTAAAAAAAGGGATTTTCTGACTGAAAAGAAGTGAAAGTCTGGAAGACACTAAGAATCATTTACTAAAAGTTAGCTGTTAAAAAAAGAAAAAAGCATACACTTCAGTTTCAGAAGCCAAATTAATAGATTCTAACTTGTCTGAGTTTGATTGTGTCACGTAAAGTACATCTTTAATTTGCAAAAGCATCCTCTTGGGTGCAAAAGCAATGTGCGCATAGGCCAGAGGAAGGACAGTTAGGAAAGTATTATCTCTGGGGAATAAACTCAGAGGTCTGAAGCCCCTCATTACTAGGATTTTCAAGTCAGATTTTATTTTATCCATGCAAGGCAGGTGCATGTAAATCACTTGTCAGTTTTTGCTCCTCATAGCCA